AAAAAAAAAAAAAAAAAAAAAAAAAAAAAAAAAAAAAAAAAAAAAAAAAAAAAAAAAAAAAAAAGAGTGTATTTGTTACTTGTATAGAGGGGAGGAGACAGGAGACAATACGTATAAGGAGATGCAGCAGCATCAGCAGCGCCAGCAGCAGCAGCAGACACGAGAGAAAGGGGCAGCGGGATAGCTGCTGCAGCAGCTGGCCGCAGCAGCTGCAGGAGACGCCCATCCAACCCATACTTACACACACAAACTAATGCTGCTGCTGCTGCTGCTGCTGTTGCTGTTGCTGCTGTTGCTGCTGCTGCTGCTGCTGTTGCTGCTGCTGCTGCTGCTGTTGCTGCTGCTGCTGCTGCTGCTGCGAGGGAGACCCTGTAGAGAATACACACAGCACAGCTAACACACTGGAGATAGGGAAAGCTGCTGCTGCTGCTGCTGCTGCTGCTGTTGCTGCTGTTGCTGCTGCTGCTGTTGCTGTTGTTGCTGCTGCTGATGCAGATAGAAGGGAGACAGAGACAGAGACAGACGGGGATAGAGGGATAGAGAGAAAGAGACAGAGAGACAGAGACAAAGACACAGACAAAGAGAAAGAGAGAGAGAGAAAGAGATATAAAGAAGAGGAGACAGAGAGAGAGACAGAGAGAGACAGATAGAGACAGAGAGAGACAGAGAGAGACAGAGAGAGACAGAGAGAGACAGAGAGAGACAGAGACAGAGACAGATAGATATATAAATAGATAGAGACAGAAAGAAGGAGACAGAAACAAAGAGAAAGAGAAAGAGAAAGAGAGGAGACAGAGACAGAGAGAAAGAGAAAGAGAGAAAGAAAAAGAGAAAGAGAAAGAGAGAAAGAGACAAAGACAAAGACAAAGACAAAGACAAAGAGAGTGTGTTACAGCAGCAGCAGATAAAGAGGAGACAAAAAGAGACAAAAAAGGAGACAGAGAAAGAGAAAAGGAGACAGAAAGAAAAATATATATATAAATAGAGACAAACACACACAAAGAGAAGAGAGAAGGAGACAAAAAAGAAAGAAAAAAAACAGCAACAGATAAAGACAGCTGTGGTTGCTGCTGCTGCTGCTGCTGCCAGCTGCAGCAGCAGCAGCAGCAGCAGCAGCAGAGAGAAAAGGAGACAGCAGCAAAAGGAGACAGACCTACACACAAGGAGACAGTAACTGTCTCCTTTATATTCTTTATTTTATATTAACTCAATACAACAACTTCTGCTGCTGCTGCTGCTGCTGTTGCTGCTGCTGCTGCTGCTGCTGTTGCTGCTGCTGCTGCTGCTGCTGC